TAGCCAGGTAAATAGAGAGAGAGGCATTTCTGCACTGCAGTTCCTCCCCAGAAGATGAAGAGTGACCCAGACTCTACTGCAGTACCAGGAACGCAGCACATCTTGCTCAGCTGCACTACTTCTGTACCACACCAGATGAGGCTGCCCTGCAGAACCCCATCCCATGCCATGCGAGGAGCCCATGACTCACATGCAGACCTAGTCTAGATCTTGCTGCAGGAATAGCTTTGCACGTGCACGCTGCATTCACCACAGATGCAACCTAACACACAAAGACCCCGTTCATCCACTGCAGCTCTGGCAGGGCTGGTGCCAAGCGCATGAGGAGCCAATGGTGACGGCGCGGGAGCAGCACGGATGGTCCCATTGCAGCTCTGCCCCAGCTGTATGTGGCTATGAAGATGCCACTGCATTCAGACACCAGTTGCAATTATTTGTGGCCTTAGGCAAATAAAGGGAATAACCATCTATGAATTTCCATGTTATTAAACCCATTTTTTCAACCTTTAATTTCAAAGCAAGATTCTAAGTGTGATAGTAAGTATTTATTCAGCAAACATTCCTGCAGAAAAACTTAAAGGTCATGTCAGGTTAATTTGTAACTGGGATAGTCAGGAATGACATGAACTGCTTTGGCTTGAAATCATTACGATATTGGGCTACTTTTAGAACACTGTTTTCCCAGATCATTTCCATAAGTCCTTGCCTGTCTTTGCATGAAGTTTGAGTGAAGATGTTTGCTTCAGAGGACAGTTACTGGAGAAGGCAGAATAATAATCCAAACTCACTAGATAACAACACATACCCCTAGGAGGAGATTAAAAGAACCATCTCGGGCTTATCTTTGGAAAATGCCACATCAAAAACCACGATCTTCCAGTTTAAATTCTTGTTTTTAAACCTGCACGGATAAGCCGAGACAGCAGAAACCAGGAGATAATCACAAAGTTTCCTTGAGCAATGATAAATAAATCCTCCACTTTCTCCTTCCGAGACGTGGCTCTCGGCTCTTTTCTCTTTCTCCAGGACACATTGCCAGGGCTCCATCCCAGCGGGCACCCAGAGGTGTGAGGCTCAGCTGGGCTCAGTTCTCATGAAAATGGGAATTGAAAGAAAGATTGAACTGTGTTTTCTTATGTGATCATAAAATATAAGCCTGAAGCTGGCTCAGTCCACAGTCTTCGGACACAGCTTTCAATGCAACACACTTTTACATGTTTAATGTGTCATTGCATAAACGTCTCCCATTAAAATACAATGGGTCAGCAGTAAAGACTGAAGTGAAACACTGATTTTGTTCCTTGGATTAATGCTTTTGCAGGCACCAAACTCACCCATAGCTGGTGACCAGACCAGAAGACAACATTCAGTTGCAAATATGGTGTTTTCAATGCAGACTCACATCACTCCATGTTGTGTAAGAGGGACTGGGAGTTACAGAACTAACAAATTAAAATAAACATTTAATGTGTGTTTTTTAGGGTGATGCTGTGATTACACTCAGTCATGAAGAAAATGAGGGGTTCCATTATGAAGAAGTCCATGCAAACTGCTGCGTATCTCCTTAGTGAATGGCTCCAGCAGAGATTAAAAGGGTTTCAACAAGCCAAAACCACCCAGACCTACTGTATATTCCTCCTAAGCATTAACATCTTCCATTATGCAATGTTAAAGATGCTTGATCAAAACAGCCACTGTAGTGGCTGAAAACAAGAGTTTTCTGTCAGGTCAGGAAGCCCATGCAAGCATCTCAGGCAGGGAAGTTTTTCTGCTTCACTGGTTGCTCCTAGTCACAGCCTTGGAACAATCACAACACCCCAAGGACAAAGTCTGCTGCTACTCACCTCCTCCTTGGTGGAGAAAACGCCATAGGGGAGATTTTGGAGAGGAAAATCTGAGTCCTTGTCTACCTGGATGAAAGACATGCTGACCAGTGAGCGGCCCCTGACCACGGAGGAGACCCCCACCTCACGCTTTCCTAAGAGGAAGATCCTCTCCAGATGTTGCAACATGAAGCACCAAACCCCACCCTCCATCCTCAGCCCCAAACCAATCCCTGATCCGCCTCCATCCCACCCCTCTGCCTGCTCCCTCTGGCAGCAGTTAATCAGTGCCAGAGGCTTTTCTGAGTCAACAGCCGTTAACTGTTCCCAGCAAGGTAGAGACCAGTGGAGAAACAGCCTCTTCCTCCTTGAGAAATCCACACACGGAGCCAAGTCCTTCTTTTACCAGGTACATCACTGCAGACAGCAATAAAGCCCCACATATCTCTGCTCATTCACCCTCTAAGTGGTCGCTAACATGCCAGAATGATGGCGATTTTGCCCATGTGGAGCAGCTCTTCCACCAGGAGCTCAGCAACCCTTGGGAAGTTGCACAACTTGCACCTGAAACTGCACTTTGGGTGCTTTTTGGTTTTGAAATACTGCACCTGAGTCCTTCGTTTGCTCCAGGCAGCTCCAAACCAGGCGTATCCATGCAACCCCAAACAGACTGGTCTGCTCCCAGCCTTGGCTTTTCTCCCGGCTGCACTGTAACATTCACCCATATTCAGGAAAAACAGAAGCCAGTGAGGATGTATCTTTGAAATTAGAACTAAATACTGAAAACCACCCCTTTTCAATAAAAATAGTCAGATGCCTGTGACTGCCAAGACAAAGAATTGGTTTCCTGTTCAACTTCTTTTGGCAGAGAAGACTCTTGTTAGAAGAAATGTTATAAGACTTGTTAGAAGAAATGCAGCAAGCTGTACAGGCAAATACTGAGAGTAAGATGACACAACAGCATCAATGACAGCCCATCTGTGACAGCTCTTCACTTGTGGAGACACAAGCTCATGCAGTGCTGTTTGAAAGAGGGTCTTGTGTAAAAAACACAATGCCTTGCACAAAATTCTTACCTACAGCACAACTCAATTCCACTGACTGTTTGAAGTCTTTTTAACACAGTGAAGATGTGTTTATTCCAAAAACAGAACAAAACCATCTTGAAAGCATGTTTCAGAGGCACAGTGTGCATCTCAAGAAGACAGATTTCATCAAGTGCTTTGTAGTGCTGTAAACGTGCTGGTATTAATTAAAATAGTCATCTGCTAGCTTCAGGCTGATGACACAAAATACAAAGCTTCACTAGTTACCTAGGCTGAGCAGATCAACCACCACGATAACCCAGAACCAATGCCAAAGCAAATAAAGGTGACATGCAATTCTTAAGTTGGGGAAAGGTGCACTTCCCCTTCTAAATGCAAGCTTCTCTCTGAGAGCCACACACCCTTTCAATATTCTGAACACAGAAATACGCACAAGCCAGAGCAAAGGAGGTTTATCAGATTGCTTCAGAGTGGCAGGTCTGGAAGGGGAACTGCCTGATGGTGATCTGTCTCACTGTTGGTACTGCGAAGGCAGTGCAAGGCAAGTTTCCTCTTAACTGGGCACAGTTATGCTTCCTACTATATAATCAAGGCCCAGAAAGTTAATGCTTCATGAGGTGGAGTATCTGAATTCCAAAGGCAGTGCTGTTCTTGTCCTTTTTCTTCTTTCAATCCCTTAGATACCAAGAAAACACAAACATGACGATGTAAAATCTACAGTGCCTCCTCTCTGCTTGGCCCAGAAGTACCACTGTCAGATGAAAAGCAGACTGGAGGGTAGGGCCTGTAGGGGAGAGAAAAGAACACTAAGGAAAAAAAAAGAGACCAGAAACAGGGAAGAGGAAGGAATCAAAGTGAGGAGTAAAGAAGAGGGAAGTGAACCAAGAAATACCCATGAAAGACAATGCTGCTGCTGGTCCATGCTCCGCACTGTGTTAAGAGGAAGTTCAGCAAATGCTGAGAAAATACAGGATCTTTGACCCATGAGCAGACCATTACGGAAACTTGACGGAAAGAGTTATTTATTCTCTCCTTTACTATAAACCCCATGCGCTTCATAGTTTGTGGTTAAGCCAGTTTTGCAAGCACAAGATACTTGGTTTATTACTGGGTCTTGCAGATTACTTTCTATAGCTGGCTGATAGAGAAAGCTCCTTCTGCTGCAGTGCTTATATGCTAAATGTGGTGCTTTATCTACTAATTGCCAGCCATAGCTTTTAAAAAGCATTCAGAATTTTAAAGGATGGAGCCAGCTTTGATTAAAAATTAAATGTTTTAAATAAAGCCATGCAATCTCATTTATTTCACAAACGCTTTAAAGCAGCAGTAAGTCACCAAGTGAAGTTTCAACTGCAGATCAGTACCATCTGGAGAGGAATTAGGTCTACTTTAGCGTACATTACGTGTGGTGATAAGCAGCACTGGCTGGCACTATAAAACCACTCAACCTTTGAGTTATACAGATGACCAGGGTGCTGCAGGGTTGAGGCACAAACTCACCTGACCAAACAGGCAGTCAGGAAGGAAGAAACTTACTGAGTACACCTTAACAGGAGGGCAGAAGAACAATTCCTCCTACCCCCAAATGGGGATCACTTTGAAGCCTGTAGATCAACCAAGAAGCAAGCAAAGGGCAGCTGTGGCAGTATCAAAGTGTTGAAGTCTCGACTGCTAACCTCAAAAGTAGGGACATCTCATGGGAGAAACCACCTGAAGAACCATTCTCTTGCCTAACTTCAAGGAGATTTGTGCAGCATGGTCTAACAGTGGATAACAAACCCCACAGCTGTATTTTCTAGAACCAGAATCATGTGCACAGATCTAAAAGCCCAGTCAGAGGCCACACCTATTTCACCTGTAGATCTACCCCCAATTTGAGTACACTGTCACAAATGATCCCTTCACCTGCACACGAGTGACACAATGCACAGAGAACGCCCTGGGCAGAATGTATCAATGCACAAGGTAGAAAGCTCCTGGAAACTGGGGTCTCTCTCATATATTATAGGCAAAAAAGAGTAATCAGAAGTTAGCTAGCATTGGATATACATTGCCTCTCTGAATAAATATGCTAAGTAAAGGAACCAGCAATGGAAGGTCCCCACAAAAATAAAGCAAGAGACATCCAGGCTACATATGCCAGTGACAGCCACAAGGGCTCCAATTTTCTTAAATTTTATTTAATCAAAGTTAAGACGTGGATAAACATAAATACAGCACAGGTACTTCAGATCATTCTTCATATTTGTGTACAGACAGACTGATGGATGTAATCCCAATGAAACCTGCAGTCGGTGAAGTGCATACAGCCTTCCCCTCACACACACACAAACAAAACCCTATTTAAAAAAAACAAACAAAAAACAACAAAAAAAAACCAAAAGAAAAACCAACCCCCCACACAATCTCAGCACACACTCTCATTACAAATGATTCATACATAAATAGGTAGAGGGTGCAAACAAGCTAATATGCGAACATGTATAACCTCTCGTTAATGGGGAAAAAAAAAACCAGAAGCAGCCATAATGATTAAAATACATTCAGTTACTGATAACTAGTTGTGCCATACAAGGCATTATCAAAAAAAAGGAAATTGTGCTGCAGAGAAAAGCTATATACAACAAGAAAATAAACTGCAAAGTTAACGCATGCATGTTTTACCCTGGAAAAGCACAGCCCTCCAAATGTTCTCTCCGTGTTTGTTATAAAAGCCCTCTGCACTCAACTAAAATTAAAATGATCATAAAGGATAATACTTGTAAAGTTTACTTAAGTCTTCAGCCACAGAAAACTGCAATGAAAATAAATGTTCAGAGTCATTTTCAAAACAGGAAGAGGAAAAAAAAAAACAAACCCAAAAAATCTATTCATCTGATGACATGCATGATTAAAAGGTCTAGGCAAGATACACTGCTCTACGCTCCTGATGACTAAGGAAAAAAGCTCAAGTCAATTTAATCTGCAGATGGTCAGAGGATTTCTTTATTCCAGCACAAGCAGCAGTTCAGATCTTCTGAATCTTTTCCCCAACAACTACAGGATTCTCTTTTCTGATCTTCTCAGCAGCATCGGCTTTGTAATTGTAAGAGCAACTGTGTACGTCTGAATAACGGTGCATACCACAGTAAACGTTCCCACACCGACACTCGAACCCTGTGGACAGAAACATTAGCTTCAGACATTTCAACATTCTTAATTATACCAGCTTGTTTTAAATCCTGAATGTGTTCACTCACTAGCAATACATCTCAGTCACCAGTGTCAATCAGCCAAAGAGCCTCTGCTGCAGAAAGCATAAGAATCACAAATAATATATTTTGAAGAGATTACAGTAAGATTTTATTTGCCCATTCCTTCCTATCACATGACACTAGCATAAAACATTCCTATAGACCTCCTGCTTTCTTTCTTTATGAACCTGCACCCCACGGAATTCAAGTTTTCTTAAGCCCTTTCACTGAACCACTGCAAAGCTGGTTAGTGGATGGCAGCAAGCTATCATCCAATTCCTCAGCTAAGCAGACTTATAAAAGGAAGTATTTGGAATTATGAACTTCACCTTCAAGACACAAGTTGCAAAACAAAAATCATACATGACTAAATCTAGTAAAAGCCAGTTGAGAGGACCTTTGGCAAAGTTTTATTTCAAACCACCATCAAGACAACCGTGCCCCATTTGCCCTTTAGGAAAACCTTTCAAAGGTCCAAAGCCTAAATAAGTGTAAGAAGAGTAGAATTCATAGTTCTTACCAGTGAGTCCAACCTTCTTCCTACACATGAAGCAACGATTCTTTTTCTGTTTTGGTTTGTCAAGCGACTTGTCTTGTTCTTCAGGTGTAGGCTCTGCATTCCCTGACACTGAAGCTAACATTAAACAAAAGTCAGTAAGAACAAGAGGAAAAAAAAGAAAGTCTGTCTCTCCCCTTCCTCTGTTTAAATCACAGGATAAACTAAAGCCCCTCTTATAAGCTTAGGTTCTGGGGTGAACCATTTTGCTGTAGCTTCCATGTCTTAAGTGTAATGGAATCTCAGCACAGGTACATGAACTCCCTCCTTCAAGACCTTCAATAAAATATAAAGAAAGGATTAATTAAATGCTCAAAGTTCACAATACAAAAATACCATAATGAAACAGAATAATAAAGAATCAGGTTTAAGAGTAAGACTCAAGTGCTGTTAGATTTGGGAAGAGACTCCAACTCCCAAGTGTTTCCCCACCAACGTTACTAGTCCAGTTCCTAAAATCTGCTTGTAAGCAGCACTGTATTTATTAGGACCAGTTGAGTAAAACACTCTGTTTCAAATACTGAATCAACATTATTTTTGCTGGAGGCTGCACTCCTGAGGCCCACACAAAATGCAGGGTTTCAGAACAATCTCTGCCATTCTGTCACTGCTGCTCTTGCACACTTGGAAAAAGCCTACAGAGGGGCTACTCACACTGCCTGGGAAAAGGCACACTGAGCTCAAGATACACAAACTTATAGGGAGGAAGCACTATCCTGAAACCCAGAAGGAAGCAGGTAGGAACCTTTCTTTAAAGACACTTTGGCTAAAGATAGCTTTTAACCTACTTTCATATTCACTCACATCTGAAGGAGACAGGTTATAGGCTGTGTGGGAGAATATAAACAAGTCATGGTAGTATTTGCGTGACCCAGGTATAAATAGAAGTTGGCTGGTTTTCCTCAAGTATTTGCACATTCCTTACATTGCAAAACAGAAATAGAAACCAAAAAACTCAACTTCATTTCAGGAAGGGCAAAGAGCCAGTCTCTGCCTACCAATCATTGCTAGATCATAGCAGGATCAGTCTCCAGCAAGTAAGGGACACAGAAGCCAGGAATATTTGCAGCAAAGAGTCAAAGAATGAAAGCAAGCTCCAGCTAGGAAGAGCATCAATGGAAGCTCAGCTAGAACCAATATTGTAAAGGAGGAAATACAACAAGCCCAGACATTTGTCAGGGAAAAGGCTGCAGGCATCTCTGTGCAGCTGAACTTTTGTTAGGCGGAAAACTGTCAGATGCAGTTCTGTACTAGTTCTATACTCAGTTGACTGCTATTCTGCATGACAATTCTGCTGGGGTTCTTTTTTCCTGTGCTGCTACTCTGATGATTTTGGTTTTTTTAAGAGAAAAGGGAGATTTCCATTTTTGCAATGGAAAAAAGAAAAAAACCCAAAACATTGTAGTCTGTACCAAGCAACAGCAAGAGGTAAGCAAAATACCTCACCACCAGCACAGACTTCACTGAACTGCACAGTTTATTCCAAGGGTTCATCCAGCAAAGACTGTTATACATGGTTCATTAATCCCTTTTAAAAAAATAAAATCGCCCATCTATGTTACAAGCAGAGCTTTACTTCATCCTGAAATTTATAAGAATTGATAGTTTGCAAGAAAAAACGTTCAGTGGCTTCAAATGGCTGTTAAAGAGCACATTTCTGAGTGGACAGATAACATCCAAGGTCTGCAACTGTTAAAGGGCACATTTCTGAGTGGACAGATAACATCCAAGGTCTGCAAAGCAAGAATCGAAACCAGTAAAAACTAAAAGATGTGAGAGACACGTATCAGAAGTAGTAAGATTCACTCAAATGAACCCTTGTAGTGTTATATATGGAACAGACATTGCAGTGTTCATTAATTCATTAAGAAAGCTTCATGCCATAAATTTAGCAGTTAACATTGTCAAGTTTGCATTTCCTGTTGTAGCAAAATCCAGTTACCTCAGTTTAAGTTTTACTAAAAGCCTCTGTAACTAGCCAAATTTAGGAAAAACTGGCACCCTTCCCTGCATAACAAGGCTTTAATACATACACACATTTTCTTTGTGCATATGGCTCTCACATTAAAAAGTGTTTAGAAGTATTTAAGAGCTGCTGCTCACTGTAGAACTGAGTGCAGAGATTCTTCTATTGCTGCTACGAGTCATTTTGGATCTTACAGTAACCATAAATTTTAGATGTCAATTTGGTTTTGCATAGAAGATTTTGAACCAAAATCCTCTATGATAAAATTGTAAGTATCCCACCACTAAGGCATCTTTAGATGATGAAGGACCAGTGTTTAGTGCTACAGCTGTGATGAATGCAATAGAAAAAAAAAGCCAGGTAAAATGCAGTACCACCCAGCTTGGATCTTGCAGGAAACATGTTGCAGCCACTCCCAGCTGCTGTACTTTGTCTGGATTCCAGGATACAGCTGCCTGCTTTGCTTGAACTGATTTCCACCCTTCCCCAGCCTCAGCTCTGCCTTCAGCTGGAGAACAGAAGCACTGGCAGCACCAGTACAAGCTGCCAACTAACCAAAAAGGAATAAAGCATGACACATTTTTCTGGAGCTGACAAGTCGGGCTGGCCACTAGAAGTTTCCTGTTTTACAGACTATGGTCCTAGCTGATCAAAACAAGCAGAGCCTGGACTTCCTCCTAAAGGCAGAAGCTTTTGCTACTGCTTTGCTTGTGCCAACCCTACTTGAACTTCAGTATACTCTGGCCATGAAAACAGCAGCCACAAGACAAAGCACACTCCAGTCCTTGCATCCCTGCAGGCATTTGCTGCAAGACTCTCTCCTCTCTCCTTGCTCTGGATGTTTTACATTTGTCACTCCTGCATTACTAGGCAGAGCTTCTCAAAGAAAAAGGTTCTTCATTTGCACAGGAAGACAATGAACAGCTACATTCGCCTCTTAAGTGAATCTGACCAGACCTATGAAGAAGAATACCCACTCATCCAAAAGAATGAAATACGAAGCTAAGATCGCTGCTACTTCCTAACATTACTTCAGCTTAGTGTTAAAATTAAGCCTAAAATACAGTGTCCCAGTGTTGGGAAGAGACAAAATAAGTAAGAGCACACTTACCTACAGCATTTAGTTTTAAATCTGTTTCATTAATGTTTCCCTCTCTCCCTGGTGCATTCATCTACTAAATCAGGATAGCCTAGATTATTTTCTGTGTTTCTATCATAATCATACTCTACCTCCAAGCCCCTGGTACTGTCACAAAAGTATGGAGTATCCACAGTTCCTTTCTAACCCTGTCTACTAAGCTAGCCTTGGTAAGATCACTGAAGTTGATGCCCTTAGTTCAACAGCACTCATCTTAGGTCCAGCTTAGCTCCACAAAATTCTGTAGCAATTTAGTTGTTTTAATATGAAGGGGTTTTAAGCTTAGTCAGCAATGACTGAATTGTTTTACCTCACTAAAAACCCAGATGAGCACAGAAACAGGTAACTGTTCACAGCAGCCATGTACCTTCTAGCTAGTTATGCAAATCTGAATTTGTATTTTGATTTTCTCAAATTAGGAAGCACACCATATTACGAGACTGACTGCATTTCGCAACGCTCATATATTGACCTCTCTGATTCTCAAGGAGTTAAAAAAAAAAATCAAAGCAGCTGATTTGGCTCCCAGAAGCGTTCAAAAGTGCCAAGAACCCACCTATTAATACAAATTATACTTTTAGCCCTAAAATCCTGATTTGGAAGAGCTCCATAAAGTATGTGATGGACTGTTTGTTCCTGCCTTCCATGGCAAGTCTCATGTACCTTTTTTAAACATCCCTGAAATAAAGTATGCATCCCAATCTGGATGGTTTTAAACTCATTAATGCTAGAGAAGTGAAGAGCCTCTCTTCTCCTGCTTGCAGGCCCTGTTAATCTCCTGGCTAACAAATAAGGGAACCTGCCTGGCTAATCCTAAAATGGCCCTGAAGTTGAGTAAAAGGTACAACAGCTCCTGAGGCAATGTAAAAATGAGTTGCAGAGATGATCAGAATAGAAGAAAACTGAATTCTGAATGATGTGGGGTGGGGAAAAAAAAAAAGCTGCAAAAATTGTGACAACAATCAGTGAAATCCACTTAGCATCCATCATAAGCAGCTTTCCTTTCCAAACTTACACTTTCAAAGCAAAACACTGATTTTCAGTTAAGGAATAGCACAGAAGCAATACTTCAGGAAACAAGGCTGACCCTGCCACAGTGAGTTATAAATAGGGATTGTAATTTAGAACTGCAATTACATGGTGGTGGTGTTCTTAGTTTAGAAATCACTATGGTACAAAGAAAATGACACAGCTGAGTAGTCTAAACACCTGATATAGATTGAGCATTGAAATACATACTGTAAAATGTGTATACGCCCCTGAAATCAAAGCTTTGAGTTCAGAAAACCATCTTTTCTACTTACAAGGAGAATTAGCTTCAGAGGTGAGAATTAGAAGGAACACTGATTTATGCAAACGCATAAAAGACAGTCCTCAGAAAACCTGCTGGGAAAAGTCTTTTCACAGGCCCAAGCCACCTCAAAGCATCAAAACACGATTTTAAAATAAAGCACTCCCCCTACCTCTCAGTGCAAAGACAGTAGATCTTGCAAGCCTAGAGTTTCAACTTTCAGCAAAGCCAAGATGCATATGTAAAACAGAAAGAGTAACTCAGGTACTGGAGGGAAGACTAAGAATCATGAGACTAACAAAGGCAGGGGGTATTAGGAAGATCATCTTACACAAGCCGCCTTTATGATCTCCAATATACCCATCCATACCAATGTAAACCTACAGTGCAATATTCACATGCCAGACTGAGGTGTTCTACTTCAGAGAGGTTCCCAGGAAGAGATGTGCCTGCATGGGAGCAGGGCTGCTGCATGAGGCATCCAGCACATCCCAGGTTCCCTCTACTGCAGAACAGGGGTGACAGTAGAACCTTATCTGAATTACTCAGAAGTCTATCAATTCATAATCTAGCTTGCAAACCTACCTCTGCTGTGCTAATCTATAGAGCTTCAGAAGCATAAGCATTTCCAGCACTTGCTATTCTCTTAAGCTGGGCAAGGCCAGATATCATCGATCGATATTAAGAGCATGTCTTACACGCACTGTCAAAACTGAGGCAACAACAGCTCTCAGCTTCAGAAAGAAAACTTGAAGATATAAAAATTTACAGCTAGAATATACCTTTTAAGATTAAACATCTTTCAGTAACTGACATCTCAAAGCCTAGTATAAAATGGCAGTAGCATTAAAGCATTTTCTCCAAGTTTTAAAGCTGTTGTTTGTATAACAGAGGTGGCCTTAATCAGCACAACAGCTGAATAACTACTCTTCCCTTCCACCTAAAAGAAGGGTTTGCTCAGGTTTAGAAAGGTATCCAAAACCCAAACTTTGATACCAGAGGTACAATAAAAGAATGTATATTTAGCATCTTTAAAGTGGAATTACATGTTGTATCTGTGGAAAACCCAAACTCCTATGTTTAGGCTAGTCTACAGAAAACTACCCACTAAAGCCTTAGTTAGCTGTGTCAGCAGAAGTAAAGGCAGAATACTTGCTGACTTGGTTTTAAGTATCTTTTACAATGTCTGTGGATTTCAAGTCTGAACATTTTTGCCTTTTCTTAAGAAACACTTTTTTAAACTCTTTCATTTTAAGCTCTGCAAGCCTGCACATAAAAAGAAAAGAGGGGGAAAAAAACCCCAGTGTACCAGCAATAAGGATGTTAGGCCAATATAGTTAAAATCACCCACTCAGCCATTTTCCTTCACACAATCAGTTTGTGGTTTGGTTGTTTCCTAAACTGAATGTCAGTGTGCCAAATTATTACACCACTACAGTACATAGGTGAAAGGTTCTTCTATCGGTATTTCATGCTTATACAGAATACTAACACTGTTCTTATAATAGCTATGTCCCAATACCCTGTATCACAAATAAGAGTTATAAACTTGTGATATTTGCTGCATATGACTAGTCTGAGAAGATACTCAAAACCCTACTTGCATGTAATAGCTGTGGCATAAAAGACAGAACATTATACTGATTTATGATGTGCATTTCTAGCCCCAATCAACACACTTCTGGAAGATACTGCAATCACCAGTTAAACATAAGTTTCCAGTTTAAGACTTGCCTTCTAAGGTTTATCCTTACTTGCCTTCTGATTTCACAGACTATTTGTGTTTGAGATTAAGCTCTCTCTTGAACAGACATATATTAGAATAGTCAAGACTTTAAAAACATCATTCATCTGTTTTGCCTCTGAAAACTAGGCACTAACCTTGCAAATCTTCTGTCTCAGGTACTGTTTTGTCCGCAGCTGTACTATCTGGTTGAGATGATGCTACAGATTCTGTTAAGAGTGACTGACTTGACACAGGGCTGGAAGGTAAAAGAAAAAAAAGTCACTATTTTTGAGGTATGCCAGGTATTCCAGGAAGAAACACATTATAGAGTCTTTCTTAATGAAAGCATGCCAACACTTTTCATGCTGAAGTTGCTTCTGTCACCATTTAAAAATGCCAGTGTCCAAGAGTACTAGAGAACCTGAATTGATGAAAAAGTTTAATGTTTTGTGTTAATATTGAATGTAATAAACCAGTTCAACTATAAAAAGGGAAAAATATTTTGGGGTAGTCTGAAGTATACACAGAAGCAACAATGCAGCATTCAGTATGTAAAGATTTTTATAACATAGGTCAGCAAGATAATTGTAGAGGAGCTACTTTTGGTGTTCTAGTGATATGAACAAGAAAATTGCAGCATGTCAATGTTTCCAGTAATAAAACATCTGCAGCTGTACACAGAACTCCTTACGTTTTCACAGTTTAAAGTGGTGCTGGCCAAACTTCCCAACCCTGTCAGCTATACTGCTAAAACTCACAGCATGGCTGGAAACTCACAGATGAATACCTCAGATGGTTCTGTGCGAGAGGTTCAGTATTAGCAGTCACACACAGCCAAACTGTTCACCCAGCAGCTCTACTATGGAACAAGAGAGAACTTAAGTCCCAAGCAAGAGGTAGCACTACCCCATTTACCCAATCTGTCTCTCCCTTTCCACTTAGAGATTCACTCCATATCCAAGAAATTGGATTATCCAGCAGCCCACGAACCAAAGCCCTATCAGTAATCCACGACACAACCAAGGCACTGGAGCTGAAATACTAATTGCCAAGAACTGCATGCGGATCCTTAACTGCAACTTTGGTCACCTACAAAAGGGCATTGTCAATTTACTAGATATTTCCTCAGCATATCATAACTGAGGTATTACCAGAGACTGAAGTTGAATTCCTGCTTTTATGTTGGAAAAAAGAAGTGAAACTCAAACTTCAAAAGAATCAGTGCAAGAGCAACTATCCACTCATTTCTCCTGTAACCAGTAATCAAGCCAGTGATCAAAAAGATACTTTTTTTCACTTTCATGCTGTTACAGGTCATGTGAGAAGAACCCAAGGCACTGTAATTGGTTCACTCTGTGCCTTGAGCTGGATCTTTTTGTTTTGTTTTTTGCACATACCAAAAGAGTTGTATCAGGGTAAGTTATCTATTTTCTATCCCAGTCAGAAATCCCAGAATGGCAAGACCAAAAATAGCATCAAGCATGGCACCTAGCTCTCAGTTCATATGTAGGATCCAAACATGAGATAACACTTCCTATAAAAAGCTAAGGAGCAGAAAACAGTCTGAAAAGAATTGGCCAACAATAACTGATGAAATCACCCTCAGCCTGTGCTTTACTACATTGTGATTTCTAAAGGAAAGTTAGAATGAGTATTACTGCAAGTTAGTGTGCTATAGGATGGAAGCTAACATTTTCCACCCAATTTCCAAAACTGAAATGCAGCCACTAAAAATAAACAAATATTTAGCTTTTACAAATGAAAAGCACTTAGTACGTCTGAGTGATTTACAAGAAGACATTATGCCTCCTTGAATAATCCAGTAGGAAATTGCTTGTTTAATCAGAAGTTCCATTGCAAAACTTACAGTAAGATTCAGATACCTCTTTTCCCTCTTCTAGTACACTCCACTTTTTGCAAAGCAACTAGTTTAGCATATTGTATATCATACATTTATTTATGAGAACTCTGGAAAACAGCTTTCTGCCATTTTACACAATCCTCACATTTCCAAGATGGAAAGAGCTCTCCTTTGGTAAAGGTACAGCCAACTGCATGTTGCGGAGTCAAAAGATCAGCCAGACAAGCCTCTGTAGAACAGCATGAAGCTGGCATAGCTCCTATTTGAGGCTAAACTCTGAAGATGAATTTGCATTTGAACGTAGCAAGATGTAGCTACTATTTACTGTGAGATCCCACACTTTAATTAGCAGTTAAATCTTACACATTTTCCTAATCCAGGTCCTAGTATTTAATTATGCAGTATCAGTACACTTCATTTAATCACCCCAATACAGATATTTACTTCAAAGCCCAGAACAGAGAAACAGCTTACCTTGGCTGCATGGATGTCGATGGAGTCGATGTAGGTTCTAAAGCTGACTGAGTTTCCTGGGCGCTGCCTTCTGTGCACTGAACTGGTAGGGACTCAGTTATACTACTGACAGAGGATGCTGGAAGGAAGACACTAATGTAAATATGTTACACTACTTCCCTTCCTAGGATTACAAGAAGTTATACTATGCAATTATTCTTTGACCCCCCTGACATCGAAGTAATTATGTTTGACTATATTTTGCTCATGTTCCAGCCCCAAGTCCCCAGAAGTTACACTACACAATTTTAAAGGTGGAGCTTTCAAATAGTTACTATTCTCTGCTTATCAAAGCATTGAGCAACAACTTTCTCAGCATGAACTGCAGTATTCTGACATAAGCTTGGGTTCTGGCTGAAAATCCAAGATGGAACTGTGAGAAACAGTAGTGTAGCACCCTAATACAACTTAGAATCCATTCTGAAGTTGTAGAACCTAGATCCCCAGATCTCAATGGAAACTATTGCTTCAAATGCTCTATCTCTGGCAGTGCTCAAAGCCAGGTTGGACAGAGCCTTGGGCAACATGGTTTAGTGCAAGGCATCCCTGACCATGGCATGGGGTTGGAGCTTGATGCTAAAGTCCCTTCCAACCCAAACCATTCCATGATTCTATGATATTTTCCAAGTGCACCCTGAGACTCCTTGCTGTCAGTATTCAGCCAAGCCAGAATAGACATTTTAGCAGCTCCAGCAAAGCACTCCCTAACCCTCTTACCCCCAGAAGAACATCAAGTTGAAAACACTGGAATGCACAGAGCAGAGAAAGGTTTCCTCTTTGAGGACACTACCATTAAAGGGGGAAGAACCCTCTAGCTTTTTCCATAGAGTGAATGTAGGAGGACAGAACTATTTCAATAGGTAATCTGCTTTGTAGGAAAGACCGCAAGTACATGGAACATGGAGCAAAAAGGAATAAAAAGGATCTCTCCCTTAAGTTAAGGGCAACTATTCTTAAAAAGCATCTACAGGTTAATCCTTCAGCATCAGACTGCAGGAATTAAATACCTGTATTTTAAATGCTTTTCACAAACATTCCCCAAGCTAAATGTTATCTCTGCTGTCAGTAATTTCAGGAAAATTATGTTGGCATAGTAATTTTTATTACATTTTTGTATCTTCAAATTGCTAATACCTTTTGTATTAATCTGAGTATTTCCAAGAGTCTACTTCTGAGCAGGTTAATCACAGCACAATTATATCATACGCACTTCATCCAAGCTCATTCCATAATGTTAGAATAAAATGGTTTGCACTAATGCTCCTATATTTTAGTATTTGGACATGATCAGGAAGCAAGCTGCCATCTACTGTGTCATTTGGAGTTGTTCAAACAGCTGTATGTTGGCATTACTTACCAGGAGGGCTAATTCTACCATTACTGTTCTGCCTTTGAAGGTGTTCTTTGTAGCACACTGAACACATGCCATTTGTACGAGGATTCCCATAAAATCCGCAACCAGTGGAACAAAGCATAGGCACTTGGCTACGGTTAGTTTCTTGAGCCATTTTCCCTTCTTCTACAAACCTGAAATTGAAACATACAACCCAGTATTTACCAACCTGATAATCCCTTCTTTTTCAGTTGACATTTGAATATCTAGAGTTTCCCATAGTTCAGCAAAAAGATAATCCATAAAAGAAGCCTTGTGGATAACTCAATGCCTTTTCCTAATAAAAATCTACAAGGTCTGCTCAATAATAGAGACACAGCCATATATATGATTTACATGCCCCATACATACAGACTGTTCCAGCCCCACCATTTTGTGGTCAACATAGAGCTTGCAAAGAAAAGTAATTTTAGGAAATAAGAATGGAAATAGTACTGATTTTAGCAGTAAGTTAAGGGAAGGTAGGGGAGTAGGACACTTATGTCAAACCCTTCTTGAACCATGAACACCTGATACTGTGAATGAGTACTGTAGAATGAAAAGACAAGCATGGTACCACTTACTTACTGCGTAATAGTTATTAACAACAGTCACATGAATTCACAAGTTACTGTTTAGTCACCACGTCATTAGTGGAGAACAACTACTACTTACCACAAAACCTGAATTATGATTTTTCACATTAAAAAAAAACAAAACACTTTTTCAGTCAAAAATACTATACTATGCACATGTAACAGTTTTGTGTGAAGAGAAATAAGAGATAAATACCAAGGCAACTCCTAACATCCTTAGCTTTAGTTTTCTTTGTAAAAGATCTGTAAACCTTAGTACATGAAAATGACAAAAAATAGCCATATGCAACAGTATTCTGAGCCCCCGACTGTTCTCAAATGGTCTCACCTGTACACAAGTTATTGACATGTCACTCAGTGAGATAAAAATTCTTTTTCCATTATGTACCCCCTCAATCTTGCCCTTTTTTTATCAGTTTTGAAAGTACAAAACAAACAAACAAAAAAACCCCCAACCCTTCTCATTAAGAAACCCAAGTATCTCACGGTATTAATTCAGTCAAGAACAATTTAAGCCTATCACTTTATACTTCCTGATCAGAAGTTAGGCTCAAGCATGGATTATTTTAGTTCTTGCCAGTCAAACCAAAGATAACCAATATTACAAAAACAATAATAAATAATAATAAATCTTTCAAGTAACATCAGTACAAAAAAAAAAACCAAACCAAAGCCAGAGATGAAGGGGTTTCAAGATGTTTGAATAATTCACCAGCTACGAAGTTACAGAATTAAACTACAGTAAGAAGTACACTAGAGTAAAAAGGCTTCCTTTTACATAAGATGTTTTTGAAGCCAAATACAAACAAGTTTCCCATTATTTTGGTTTTATACAAATATCCTCCTCTCTTCTCACACCCACATGCATTGCATTTTGTTTTTATTTCCCCAAAGTATATGAAATTGATACCTCAAAAGCAAACCCCTGGGTTGCAAAGCTAAGAACAGAAATGACAGTCAAGTTCTCTATTCACAGCAATAAGGTACTCTTCTCAGGATGAGAAAGCATTCAAGATACAAGGAAGATGTACAGGCAGGATGACAAAATAAAAATCCCTGATAGTATCTCATTCAGCTTCAACCTGCAATTAAGCTTATTTCAGCTGTTTGACTGTACTCCCCCATCCCAATATAGAAGCATTTGCTTTCCACATACAAAGCCCCCATTGACCTCAAACGACAGCTAAATTTGATTTTGCTGAAGTACTGTACTTGTAGCTGAAAGAGCACTTTCATTCCTGCCTTTCTCCAGACAGCCCTTTAGAATTCAACTGCAAGTAATGCAAGTGGGAATTCAACTCTTATGCTGGGCCCAACATTCAGCAGGAGAAGACTCAGGAGAGTGTAAATGAACACGAGTTTTCTATGCTTTGGTAACTCAAACCCATTTAAAGATTAAACCTTACACAAGTCACTCTTGGCACAGAATGTTCAAGATTGAAAGACTAATTTAAAAATATTGGACAGAACATTTCATAAGGGCTAACATATTCAGTGGCACAATACAAGTATTAACCCTTTCAATTTCAAGCAGCAGCACAGTAAAAGAGCCTCACCGCACAAACTTTCAAAACTAACCCTGATGGCCTTTCTGGTCAATAGTTAGCTTCAAGCAGCACACAGGAACTCAACAACAGCACCAGTTACTGCTAATTTTGTTACTCCCTGACACAACCATTACTGAAGGACCAGGTGCTAATGCAATCACAGCATTACAATTTCTAACATGGATGTAAAAAAAAGTCTGCTCCGATTCAATAAACAAATTGTGAAAGGTGCACAAAGATGCCCAGAAGAAAAACAAGAAAAGCTGGACTGAGTTCCAGCTAAGCCAGTTCCCAAGTTCATTAACCAGTGGATCCTGCCACCAGCCAAAGCACAAGCCACTGGCATGAGGCTCCAGAATACTTAAATCTCCCAGGGGAAGTGCCAGGGATTCTTCTGAAGAGTTTTAATAAAAGCCACAGGAAGCGGAAGATCCTTCATTGGTTGCTAATATTTGGGGAATAAAATGGACAAGAGATAGGATCAAACTGATGCAATGTTATGAAGTCAAATGAGAAATAAGTTTAACACAAACACAATGGTGTGCTGCGCTCTGAAGAGGGCAATCCCAGTCTCCCACACCAGCTCCAGGGTAATCTGTACCTCTACCCACCCAACTAGTCCCCTGAGCCACCAAAAACCCCACTGGGAAGAAAAGGGCCATCACCACCATAGAAAGTTTTCCAACAGTTCACTGAGCTCAGTCAGTTCACACACAGAGAGAAGCAAAAAAGGAAAGAAAAAAGCATAATGCACAGGCAGAAAACTGTGGAACTGATGCAAGGGATGACAGATGACACGTGACAGAGGGGAGGGACAACACACATTTTGGCAACTGCTGAGATGGTTGAACTGATCTATTTGAACCCTAAAACCACAGAATGCCAAACCAGTATATGCAGCCTTTGCTCCCCGGCTTATGACTCTGTTTCCCATGCTGTTCCCTCCCTCTCACTACTGACATGCACCAAAATGAATCAAGGAAGTGATCAAACTTAGAAAACCAACCACTCCATCTTCTGCCAATTAGTTTTAACACAGACTGCTTTCCGAGCTTGTGTTTGTGACACGTGCTGCATGGGGATGAGAGAAGGTCTAGCCGAAGACACGTGTGGAACCACTTGTTTCAGCAGCAACGCAGGCTTAAAGCATTAGCCTAGCTTAAAACAGGCATTAAAAATGTAAGGGAGGAGATCCAAGTGCTGGCGGTTCCTGCCACTGCACTTCAGACATGCCTCTCCTGTACAGATCCAAACTGCACGTGGGCAAAGGCCAAGATGACAAAGCACTGTGCCTCAGGGACTTTCCTTCCTCACTGCTCAGGCAGAAGGAGTCAAACAGCTACAAGCAGAGCAGCCTGACTCTGTCCCAATCTCTGCAAACATGTACAGCAAGAGGTCACTGAACAGATGTTTTGGGGGGAGGGAAGACCTCCCCTCACCCCAGTTCTTGGCTCAGGTTCAGATGATTTTTGTGTCAAAACTGTCCATAATTCCTCACACAGGAAGACCTTTAGTATTGCAGAGCCAAGCCATCACATAAGCCAGTAATGGTGGGCTGTCACTGAAATTGCAGCCTTAGCAGCACTGTGAAAGGAGTGAGCCTGCTCCCACAGCCCCATCCCCTGCTGCACACCCCCACCCTTGAGTCGGATCAGTTCATCCATCTGACGGAAAAAATGGGAGCATTTATTCTGGTGGACTGGAGAGCTTGCTGAGCTGACAGAGATCAACTAGACAACTGACATACAGCGCAAAAGGAAGTGACAAGGCTAAAGATAGGACGACCCTTTACGGGGGCAGCTAGCCCTTGCTGAGCATCACTGTAAAATATATCCCAAGTGCATACCCCACCTGTAGTTTCAAAACTGGTCTAGCTTGGCTGCAGTACAAAACTTAAAGCAACTTCATAGTTGAAGTGACAGCAAATGTCCTGGGATCATCATGGCTACATGTATCACAAGGTATCACAAGATAAATGTGGAGCTTGTAAATACTGCAAGTACCTCTGGGCTCTGCCCACTCCCCTCAAGCTGTGCGTGCACAGCATTCATAGGGTCACCCTGAACACAGAATTGACTCATCTTAAAAAAAAAATAATACAACCCAACTCTTAACAATATTTTAAGCATATTCCCTGTTTTGCTTTGCAGTAGTATAACCACTTGTACAAGCACTAATAAGTAGGAAGCAAAGCAGGGGGAGTACAAAAGCCTTAAACAACATGAACCCAGCACATTCACTTTGTTGAAGATTAATTCCATGAAGAGACTTTTCGTATTAGCTAAAAATTGCTAAGCTTAAGCCAAAACTGCCTCTGAAATTTTCTTCTCAAAGCCACTAGAAGCATAGCAGCCTGCAGAGCTGTGTGCTAAGTCCTCTTCTACAAATTTGGTGCTTCAAGTGTACCCATACCTCCTACTCCTGTCACACCAGCAACTTCATGCACCTGTAAGTCCTGCTTACTGCTGCTACAGGTCCTACCATTCCCCACTCACCAGTGCACATTCTCAGAGTAAATTATTCTCTGTATCAAGCAAAACTCACAATCAACCATATAAAAGACATTCCCAATTATAAAGTGTATAGAGCTGAAGCTGTAGAAACACTAAAGCACTCCAAATCTTTTGGACATCAGCTTCTGTAGGGAGAGACACGCCTCTCTTCAAAACTCTGCAGAGCAAGTAACAAAATATTTGTGTACTTCCCTTCCCCACAATGCAGGTACCACAATACTAGTCTTTCTTCCACCTCCTTCTTTTCCTATTAATTAAAATGTTCATATGCTACTAGTTTCAAATCACTGATACCCTAGCTTCATAGCCTTCAAATGTTAATCAGTAAGATCAGAGCACAGTATTTAGCAGGATTAAACACGAGGTTTTAGAATAATCTCTTTCCCTTCCCCCTCGTCTCAACCAGAAAATAAGAACTCCTGCACAGAAGCCAGCCTTCTCATCTTCCTCAAAGATTTCCTGAATTCCAGTTGGCCTCATACTTCAAGTTGTGGTAGAGAAAGTG